TTTCTTCTTTTTTTTTTTTTTTTATTATAGAGATGACACAGAAAATGGCCCAGACTGGTCTAGAACTCCTGGGCTCAGGCAATCCTCTCGCCTCGGCCTCCCAAAGTGCTGGGATTACAGGCGTGAGCCACCACGCCTGGCTATATCACTTTTCTTACTCCACCTTAACCTCCCCCTGTGGCTCGGATCTGTGCCTCTGTCTCTTGCCCCTCCTGGCCTCTGTTCTTTCTTGGTTTCGATCCCATCTTTTGTCACTCCCTGCTTCTCTCTGTCCATATTCGCAGACCCTCATGGCCAAGACCCAGGCCCTCCAGAACACCTGCTGACAGGTGCTCCCCCACCCCCAGTACACACAGAGGTCCTCCCCTCAGGGGATTCACCCAAGGGAGAATCAGCACTGCTGCAGCTGTGGAGGAGGCTGGGGATGCTGGCCCTTCCCTGTCCTTCTCGCTTGACCAGCGGGGAGTAGGAATGGCTGGTCCCAGCCCTCCTGGAGTCGGCAGGGCTGTCGTTCACTAGGCCAGTGTTCCAGCGGGCGCCCGGAGGGAGGGCTGGGCCGATTGTACCTGGGCTGATCACCACAGAGTGAAGGTTCACCATCTGGGCCCTGAGCGGGAGTTAGGGGCTTGTCACGTGATTTCCAGACCAGAAGCTACTTGGAGAGAGGACCGCACACCCCCGTGGATGTCAGGGCCAGCCTGTATCTCCCAGAGAATCCGAGACAGATTTTAGAAAGCCGCAGACTCAAAATCAGGCCTGGTGCAGACTCGGCCCCGGAAACTGCGAGAGGACAAACTGGGGTTAGATCAGAAGGATGGGGCGGGCCTGGGGACTGGACAGTTGTGCTCCCTAGAGGGCCCTGAGGCGCTCTAGCAGGAGACAACCACAGTGCTTCTGGGGACTGTGTCCCACATCCTCAGGACACCGAGTTCGAGGCCCCGGGGAGCCCGCAGGTCAGCAGAGGAGTCCAGGGTTTGAGTGGCCACATGCACAGGACTGGACAGAAGCGAATCCCGGCCTGAGCCATTTGCGGTGTCATGACCCCCTTCACACCTCCAGGGAGAAGGGACTGCGGGCTCCTTGCCCTCTGTGTCCTCCCCTTCTCTCTGGCCCCAGCCTCAAGGCTTTGGCCTGGGGGCACCACCTGCCCTGATGCGTTTCCTCCTCCTTGCCACCCAGTTCCCAGCACGGCCTCCCCGCCTGTGTCCAGCGCCTCCAACGACCCGGTGGGCTCCTACTCCATCAACGGGATCCTGGGGATTCCTCGCTCCAACGGCGAGAAGAGGAAACGTGATGAAGGTAGGGAGGAGGGGCGCGCCGTGGCCTCCCTCCACGCGCTTTGTCCTGGGGCTCGGGGCTCCGGTTTCTGCCCGGCCTCGCAGCTGCTTCACTGCGAGATCAGTTTTAGTGGCAAAGCCCGGGTCCTCCCACTGCCCTGCTGGCTCCCGGGGAGAGGGAGGGTGGCCGCCGGGGGGCCGTCAGCTTCGCCATCTGCTTGGCGGCCCCAGTGGCCTCACCTTCCCTGGGACACACCCCAGCCGTCCCCGTGGGTGCCAGGAGGGGAAGCAGGCGTCGTAGACCTCGGAAGGGCTGGCGGTGGGGACAGCTGGCGTCTGACCCGGGGACAAGAGGCCGGCCTTCCTTGTCCTCACGTGATCCCGGTCCATCCAAGGGTAGGGGAGCCATGTCTCGTGCGGTGACCCCGGTGTCCTTTGTAGCACATGGACGCCACCCCCGCTGAAACCCTCACAAGGCCTCGCTCCCTCTGCTCCACCTGTGGAGATGCCGCTTAGGCTCCCTGGCCCTCCTCCTCCCCCCGGAGCACCCCAGGGTGCAAATAGGATCTTAGGCAGGGCATTGGAAAGAATGGGGGTGCAGACAAGGAGAGGTGCTGGGATGAATTCGGGACAAGGTGTCCTTCAGACCTTGTGATGTCGGGGGTCCCTTGGCAACCCCCTGGTTCCCTTCTGATGTGGAAGCCGGGCACGGGGTCGGCGGACCCTGAGGTGCCAGTGTCTGGGGCCTGCTTCCTGCCCCAATGCTCTCATGGCCCCTGCTGGGGCAGCGGTGACCTCCTCGCCTCGGAGGGTATAGGGTCCCAAAGGCACCTCCGTGAAATAGACTCCTCGAGCAAGGAGCGTGGGGTGGCTGTCCTCCCCACTGCCCAGGGCAGTCCCAGCGTCTGCCTGTCGTCTCTGCACCGTGGCCTCTCCTTTTTCTCTCAAAAACGTCCTGTTTGGGCGATAAATTCTGTGGTGTCGCCCACCTGGAGGAGCCCCTGGTAGAGGAAAGAACAGAGAAAGGGGCACAGCTGAGAGTCCCAGGGCCCAGGGGGAAGCAGAGGGTGTGAGAGCCCCGGCCTCCGGCGGAAGAGGCCCGGGCCTGGCAAGACAGTGGTGACCCGAGGCTGGCCTCCTTCCAGAAGCCCTAATGGCCTCGTTTCACAGGGAAACAGCTTGTCTGGCTCTATTTCTCCTTCTTCCAAAATATCCAAACCCATTTGGCCGCCACGGCCTCTGCCACTCGCTAAATTTCATTGTGGTTGTTTTGGCGGCCGCCCCGATGGGCAGGGGGCGGCTGTGGGAAGGGCCCGGAGTCCCAGTCCTCCCCGGGGCTCCCCAGACGCGGGCCTCAGCCAGGCTCCCCTAATCCCGAGTGCTTGGGCCGAATCTGCCTCAAACCTTCTGGCCACCAGCCCCTGCGGCTTTCAGAGCATGAGCTGTCCGGGGCCCGGGGGCGGCCACAGATGCCCTCTGTCCTCTCCCGCAAGAGTCCGAGGGTGTGCCCAAGCATGCCCTCTGCTGCCTGGGCTCCGTGGGCCACGAAAAGAGGCGGGGGCAGGGAGGTCCTGGCACGAGGCTGTGGCCCTCCAGGGCTGGGCCCGGCCGGCCCAAAACGGCGTGCTTCTTCTCGGAGCCGTCGGTCAGTCATTGTTTCACATCGGCGAGTTCAGCAAACCCTTTCTGCACATCAGTTGCAAGAAAGGCTCCGTACTACGCAATCCCAGGACAGAACAAGATAAGATTCTTGTCCTTCAGATGGCTTCCACTCCAGCGGGGCGTGTAAACGTCCGAGCCCAGAGAGCGGAAAGCCCATCAGATACCACACTGTGCTGGAGTCTGGCCGCCGGCCACGGGGTGCGGCGTGTGGAGGGAGCACCCACCAGGGAGGCCCGCTCTTGAGGAGGGGGCCGAGGGAGGCTGAGGAGGATGTCCGGAGACAACGAGAGCCTGAAATTCTTCCCGATTGTGTGAACCTCGTGACCCGAAGGCCCTCTGGGCGGCAGCCACGGGGCAGCCTTGGCAGGGGTGGAAAGCTGAGCGGCGTGGTGGAGGTGAGGCTGAGTAGACAGCTGGGGTCACCGGATCAAGGCCAACACTGGCCCGTGGTGGGAGCTGGGACTCTTCTTCTGCAGGCAGGAGTAGCCACTCTGAGCAGAGAGGGACGGGAGCAGGGCTGGGTCGGGGAAGCCCACCGTCCAGCAGTGACAGTGACGGCCCAGGGACACGTCGCAGGGGGCAGTCTTCGAGGTGAGGGAGAACAGGGTTGGGGGACCCTCCTCAGAGGTCAGAGACCCTGGCCCTTTGTTTGGGGGATTCTCTTGCCCTGACGCCCCCCTTCTCTTGACCGACCCAGGTCAGATGGAGCTGTCTTTTCCCTGGTGGAGGCCAGGCCTAGGAGGGAGCCTTGGCCACTCCCTCTGACTTCATCCAAGGGGCCCAGGTGCGGAGGAGAGGAGGGGCCGGGGGGGCACAGGTGACTCTGTCCCCGCACGCCCCTCCACCCCCACCACCGAGCAGCCAGGTCCTGTTTGCATTAGGGAGCAGCTCCGATGATTAAGGATAGGGGAGATAATTACGTGTCAGGATGATGTAGCCCGACTCCGGAGTCAGGCCAAGGCAGCCGCGCAGCTGGCAGGGCGGGCGCAGGAGTGGCCCCTGTCGCAGGCTGCACAGACACCGGGTGTGTCCTTCAGCGGCTGGGCCAGGACTTCAGGCAGAAGAGGGAACGGACCGGAGACTGTGGGGGTGGGATGGGGCCGGGAGGACGTCCAGGGACTCAAGCCTAGAGGGAGTCGAGGGCTACACCTCCCTCCAGGAGGCCCCTGGGTGCCCGTCAGGCTGGCCTCCTTCGGCCTGGGACCCTCTGGCATCTCCCGAGGGGTCAGCCCTCGAACGTGAGCTGCAGGGAGCCACTCCGGCCCCTGCCCTGGGCACAGGGCAGCCTTCTCTTCAGCTCTGACAAGGTCACTGGGCAGGCATGGGCGAGGACAGTCCCCTGAGTGTGTGCTGGCGTGAGGAGGCCATCTCAGCGGTGGCTACCGGTGTCCACAGTGGTAATACCCAGAACATGCTTGGCACTGGCGCTCGGAACACAGACAGTGTTACGTGTGTCTGCAGCCCTGTGTCTACGGGGCCTAGCGCCGGGCCGACTGGCTGCGCCTCTGAGGAAGCTGGAGGTGATGGGAGCCCGCTTGAGCTCCTTCTCACACCTCGGCCTTTGGGAGCGGGAAAACCCGACTTCCCTTTAAAGTGGGCAGATCGAGACGCTTCGGCCCTCCTCCAAGGGTCTGGGAGCTCCCAGGATGAGCCAGTAGACAGAATAGGCATGAGGTGGTTACGGTATGAAGCGTCCAGAAGACTGGCAGTCCATCTGTCTGAGAAGGTAGATACCTCCTTAGCACCCTGCTAAAATCTTCACTTCCCGAGCTTCAGCCACGGGTGGGCGTGTCTGGGCTGGGTTCCCTGGGCCCCGTGGAGGGACACTGAGTACCTAAATGCTGCATGCCCTGGTGTGTGTGGCGGCAGGAGCCGGATCCCGTATTGCCCATCCACGATCAGGCTGAAAACCAGAAGTCCTCGCCTTCACGGGTGGCCTTCAGCTAGGCCCAGAGTGCCGCCGTGTGCCTGTCATGTGGCTGAAGCTCAGAGTGGTTACATCATATGTCCAAAACTCCAAGTGCGGTCATATGGCGCAGGCCTGCTGATTGTGCGTGAGGGGGTGTGTTGGTGTCATCCTCGGATGTGTGGGATTGCAGGGGCCATGGTTCTGCATTCCATTAATTAGGTGCACAACGAGTTGTGCAGACGAGTGGTGCCAAGCCGGTGCAGTTGTGCATTTGCAGACAGGGCAGGTGGCATGGTGGCAGACAGCCTTTAAAAGGTCCCTCCTGTGGGGGCAAAGCCAGGGCTGGAGGAGGCGGTCCGTCTCCTGAGGGAGCTTCCCTCCTGGAAGTCCCCAAGCATGTGGGTCAGGTGAGCCCTGGAATGGGTGCAGGGACCGAGCTGTGGGAATGAACGCCATCTTGCGTGTCCAAGGGTCTGGTGTGGGATGTGAAAGACTCCGCAGATGCCCCCAGGACGGAGGGTGCGGGTCCAGGCTAGTGCGCCGTCCCTGGAGTGGGCACAGATGGGCAGCGCGGGCCAGCAGGGAGGAACGTGGGCTCTGGAGTGAGGACCTGCTGGGTTTTAATCCCAGGGACACTCGTCAGCTGGGCCAGTCACTCCCCCCGCACCAGCTCAGCGTTTCCTTGGTGGCCCGGAGGTGGCCACCGCGTTTACTTCTGGGAACTGTGCAGGAGACAGTGTTGAGCCGACTTCGTCCAGGAAGATGGGCCGCTCTCTGTGGATCCAGGGACCTAAGGGTGGCGTTTCCCAGGGGAAACGACGTGTCAGAAAGTCACGCATTTGGGCATAGGCCCCCACCCCAGCACTGCTGCTCGAATCCAGGCTCTGTCCCTTCCTGTCTCTTCCTTTGCTCTGCAGTGACCCGCTCGGACCACGTGGCATCCTTCAGCCTCCATAGGTGTTTTAGACGTGTGTGAATACACATGCGACCCCCTTCTTTTTCCAACACGGGGGCATCCCTCCCCTTCTCCACCTGTGTACGTTTCCATTGCCACATGCGACTCTGTTTCTTTACTTTGGGAAACGAATGTTTCATGGACCCATAGGTAACTTTACACAGAGCCCCTGCGAGTGTGAGCACGCGTGGGTTCTGCCCCCCGGGAATGCCAGGCCTTGGGATGGCGTGCCGTTTTCTGGGTGGTGCACGTGCTTGACGAGGGCACCAAGCCAGGCCTGGGTGTGCTGGGTGCCCAGGAGCCGGGCACAGGCATGCGTAAGGAGTCTGGCTCAAGGGCCCCACAGGCAGCGCCGGCATTCTGCTGCGGAGTGGACAGGCCAGCGCGAGCCCGCCTCCAGGGGTGGCCCGGGCCCAGGCTGGGGTCTCACCTGCCCTTCTGCCCGCCTGCCTTTCGGGATCTCTCAGTGTGTGTCTGTCTCTCGTTTGCTCCAGTCGAGGGATCCACTGATCCTGCCCACATTAGAGGAGGTGGAGGTTGGCATCTGGTCTGGACTTTAAGAGGTACGAGGGCCAGGGGGACCATGGTGTGGGGCCAAGGGCCGTCGCTGGGGGGTGGCGGTCAGGGAGCCCGCAGCGAGTGGGCGCCCGCGGGCCAGAGCGGGAGCGCCTTGGAGGCGGGCAGCCTCGGGCCTGACCACCTCTGCCTGGGACCCCCCCCCGTGGGCTTGGGTAGATGCCCCGTGGCCTGAGGAAGGGGCGCTTCTTCCAGCCCTTGGAAAAACAAAGAGCAGATCGGGCAGTAAAACAAAAGCAAAGGAGACCTGGCCGCACCTGACAGCCCTAATTCATCACGGCCCAAGTTTTTTCCTGTGTTCCCATTATATTTGTTTGTAAAAGTGGAAATCAATTTTGAAGGTAATTTTCTGGAAAGAATGGAAGGGAGGTGGGAGGGCCGGATAAGGCAGAGATGGTAAAAGGAAAAATTTAGGCCAGGCACAGCCCAGGGGCAGCTCTTGGCAAGGTGAAAGAAAATTGCATATTCAATCTCCATCCATGAATCTCCCTCACTGCTGCCCGCCTCCTGCTTGAAAACAATGAGGGCTTTTTCCCAGCGCTGGGCAGGGCCTCGGTATCAGCCTCACTTTAACTTCAGGGTCATTAATTCCCTGATTATTGAAGGAGAAGAGAGGGCTGCAGCATCGTCAGTTCCAGAGGCGCCCCCCATGCGATCAGGCACCGGCCGGGGCGGGGCGGGGGCG